GTGAGGCTGGAACAGGAGCCGGAGCCGTTCTATCTAACTAGAGGGCACAAGCAGAAAGAGCTGCTAAGGACCCTGAGGGCATGTGCACGGCTCTCCCTGAGCCTAGGACAAGCCAGCACTGAGGGGGACCCAGCACAGGAGCGGCTCTTGGCCCCAGAAGGGTTGCACTGCAGCTTGGTCCCTGGGCAGCTCCCTGCATCCCCCCGAGAGCTGGGTGGGCTGCGAGCCCCCGCTGCCCTGCGGCACAGCGAGCCCGAGGCACGGTGGAGATGGAGCAGGAGGAAAGCCGTGAGATGGGCCAAGAGCGGGCGTGCAGAGGCACCGTTGTCCCCCCCCGGCAGAGACAGAGCGAAGGCAAACCAATGAGTAAAGAAGAGATGGCTACAACGTAAGGGGAGACAATGGGAGGGGAGGGAAGGGTTTTCCATAGAGAATATGCAGGAGCACTACTGGATCCATCAGGAATCATTACAAACTTTATTTGTCTGTGCATTGTGTACCATTGATAAGGATCATCACAATTAGTGGACTCACTGCCTATAGTGGTGGGCAATACACACAAAGAAAAATCAATGAAGCCAAACAGATGAAAATGAAATCATTGTACATAAAGGTAATCATAAACCTGAACAACCTGTGCCTGTGTTTGATTCTTCCCCCAAAATGATGAGAAACAAAAAGAAAACTCCCCAAACCCATCAAAAGTGAAAAAAAGGCTTGAGAAGAAAAAAACCAACCAAACCACAACTTCATATTCCTAGAGAAAAATATTATAACAGGTTAATTAAAATTTCCACAGATTGTTCAAAATGAGTACAAATACCCCCAGCCAATCGGTTCTGATACGCGCGTCAGACGTGGTTTCCAGCGGGGTGGGAAGGGATCGCCAGAGGACGAGCAGGCTGGGCGTTTGCCTGACGAAGGGCGTAGGGTAAGAAGCTATCGCCCAACACCACGGCACGATGCCATCCCTGCGCTGCGCCCGGGGCAGCTCTACCTCCACACCTCCCCGAGCTCGGCTCGCTACCCCAG